CTACTGGAGCTGACGAGCAGTGAGATGCATGCTCTGACAGGACAAGCTGCTTGGATGCCTCCCCCTTGTTCCTTCAGAATGGTCTTAACAGACCTTGTGCTCTCATACAAAATTCTGTCGTGCTTCAAATTTGATTTCCAGTTCTTGTGCTCTGGACTCCTGGCAGGACTGCACTATGGCTCAAGCTTGCAGTGCTGGTGCTTCGTGGTGTTCAGATGAACTTTAGAAGGAGCCAGAACTCACGTTCTCTGCAGGGGTATCTTCTAGTCACACTGTGTTCCTGCGAACATCAGTGCTGAAAACCAAATGTATGGAAACAAATTACTCCCTCAATCCTGCCGTGTTCCTAACTGACAGTAACACTGAGATGGTGAAACAGCAGCAGCCCAACTGCTCTGGGTGGGAAGAGACTGCTAAAACGTTCACCAATCTGTGTGTCCAAAGAGTGAAACCACTAGGCACAAACAGGAACTGGTGATTCTGAGAGAGTTGACAGGCTGAGAGAGTTGGGGCTGTTCAGCCTGGAGAAGAGAAGGCTCTGGGGTGATCTCATAGCAGCCTTCCAGTACCTAAAGGGGCTACAGGAAAGCTGGAGAGGGGCTTTTTACAAGGGTGTGTAGTGATAGGACACGGGGCAATGGCTTTAAACTGAAAGAGGGGAGATTTAGGTTAGATATAAGGAAGAAATTTTTTACATTGAGGGTGGTGAGGCACTGGCACAGGTTGCCCAGAGAACCTGTGGCTGCCCCATCCCTGGCAGTGTTCAAGGCCAGGTTGGATGAGGCTTTGAGCAACCTGGTGTAGTGGAGGGTGTCCCTGCCCATGGCAGGGGGGTTGGAACTGGATGATCTTTGAGGTCCCTTCCAACCCAAACCATTCTATGATTCTATGATTCTACCAGTGCCTGGACCCTTGTGCGGCAGCCAACGCTGATGCGTTGGGCTCACACACGTCATTTCGTGCCCATTACAGTATCTCAGAGAAAGTGGGACTCGTGTTTCTGAAGCAGTTATTTGGGAACCAGTTCTATCATGGCCATGATTATTTCAAGAAACAGAATAACAGCCCTGCTTTGCACAAAGAATAGCAGAGGATGTCTGTTGCTGGCCTGCTCGCCCCGTGTCTGTGATGAGGAGGTGATGGCCTCCTTCAGCCCGGCAGTTCTGGTGTGTGTGGATGGGAATCAAAGCACAGCTTGGAAACTTGGACGCGCTTTTCGAGAGGCTGTTTGGCAAGATGTGCCCAGTTCAGTTAACCACAGTAATAATATCAGGCAAGTCGCTGATGGAGGGAAGCGAAACAGAATTGAGCTCCTGCTCCTTCCTCCTGATGCGTTGACCGCGTGGTACAAAGAGGTGTAGCAAATCCCTTCCTGTTCCGGAGAGCTGCGGACTGGGAGGGGAAATCGCTGGGAAAGCTGAGGCTTTCAGCTGGTGCAGAGAGCTCTTCCAGCTGACGCCCCGAGGACTGCCTTACTTCCAGGCAGTTCTTTGCTGACAGTATTTCAAATAGCTGAGGGCTGCAAGTCCTGGCTCCTGGCTAGGCTGGGGCCTGGGATAGCCCTTTGGGAAGGTGGAGCGAATCTTGGCTTGGTTTGTCTTCTCTAAGCCGTGTTAAATTTTATACGTGCCCCAGGAAACATTGTAGAGGGGGCTGTCTGTCTTTGGATGCCAAATAGCCTGCCCTTTCCTTTGGCACAGGGGTCCCAAAGGTTGAAATAAATGAGTATGTCCCTCACGGGGAAGCATCCACTTGGTTGGGAAGGGCAATTGCAGAAGACAGATGGAAGCAGACGACGTCGGCTAGCTGGCGTTGGCACTGGAAATGCCATCTGCACGGGACTTGCTGATGTGGGCTCCTCCGTGGGCAGCTGGTGTGCAGTGAGGAGTTGTCCATACTGCTGCTGGTGGAGAGCTGGCTCGGCAGAGACGGCACGTTCTGCGGGCTGAGGGTGGGCTTCCCCCATCCACCCCCTTCTCCGACAGCGGCCACGAGACAAGTGCTCGGCCGCACGCTGCGTCTCGCTGCAGAGGTTGTCCCTCCGAGTTGCCATGAAGTTAAACCCGGCAGTTAAAAAACACCCAACTATTTCTGCTCCAGCCCTGAGCTACGTTGTATTTTCGCCAAGGAGATGGGCAACAGGAGAAGGAGGTTGTCCTGCTTTTTAATTGCCATCCTTGGGACTTGCAGCTGCGGCGGGAAGCAGAAAAAGCCTCGGGAACAATTACTGGGGATTAAGATCCTGAGTTCTCCCTCCCTGCAGACTGTTGGTGGGTGACCCTGCCACCGCCGGGTCCCTTATGAGCTGACTGATGTGCGGGGTCACAGCTCGATTGCACGGGGGGAGAGCTGCCCAACGCCAGATTCCGGCAGAGCTCAGAAACCCCACCAGGGAGGCTGTAAAAACAGGAGCAAGCACAGGAAATAATAGGGAATAAGCAGGGCTTCCGATACAATCATGTTCTCATTTCGGTGTCAAGCAGCAGGCCAGGAACGAAGGGAAAAAAATACCATTCCTCTTCCTTTTTTGGCAATAATGGATTGTAACTTCAGAGGAATCTCCAGCTTTCAGGGTCGGGCTCAACAGTTTCTAACTCCACCTGACTCCGGCTCATAAACACCCTGCTGAGCACTTGCTCTCTCCACGAAACGTCTGGAGAGATGTCTTTTGGACCTCACCCTTGCCTGGCACTCACAGGGAACGGTGAGTTTCTTCACTTGGTGGCAACTGATGGGTTTCTCAGTGATGCCCAGTCAGGCCAATTACCTTAAAGAGCCATGTTTAAATATTGAAGAAAATTGTAGGTGCGTTCCAAATGCCTTGCTTAACTCGTTGAATGGGAGGAAGAGCATGCCCTGAGGACAGCAGCCATGCTGAGGTGTAAATAGCTTCATTTCACTGGGGCCAAGCAGCTTCCTCGGGCTGGCAGCTCACATCCCAGCGGGCACTTGCAAGCTTATAGACTGAGCTGCGGGGGCAGAGCTCTGCTTTGGGGTGGACGAGCAGCTGGCTGGCCAGGACAGGGACCACAGAGGTCCCTGCTGACTTGCCTTTCTCACTGCTTCACCCGTGGAGAGCGCAGTAGAAGCTGGTTCATTTCCTACCCACTTTTCCTTCAATAACTTAAAGCACAGGAGTGTGTGTAAGAGCTTTTAGAGCAGGGAGGGCACGTGACACAATGAAATCGCATCTGAGAGGGGACAATCTTGGAGGGTGATTTAGAGAAAACATCCAGTGCTGTTTTTCAGGGGACAACCTTGGCGCAGCAGTCTCAGACAAGCAAGAGGACATCCTGCCATTTTTTTTTTTAGATTAGCACTGTTCCAAGTGCATCACCGGCAAGTATTTCATAACCTGAGATACTTTCTTAAGGAAAACGCTCAGGCAGTCCCAAAAGGTCCATAACGTTTCCTGCACGTGCTCCCACCATGGAGTAATGAAGGCTGGAGTAGCCAGCCAGGGCACTGAATCAGGATAGGGAATGGAGTTTTCAATGCACTGTTTCCTGAAGCGTAGGCATGGGGCTGGGTTAACAATGTGAGATGTGGGGCATCTGAGCAGTGTGTAATGAGAAAAGGAAACAGCTCAGCACAAGAACTGGGGTGGATAAAGCAGCCAGGACTTAGAGTAGCAAGAAAAAATCAGAGAAAGGAAATAGAAAGGGAGGAAAAAAGTACTGCAGGAACTAACAAGTAACACCAAAAAGCTGCTTTCCGATAAGAGGAAGACTTGCTGCGAAAGCAGGATAAGGGTAGAAAGGGACTATTTTCAACAGGCATAAAGAGACAGGAAAAAGTCATCCACGTGGCTCAAACAGGTGTGTTCACCTAGTAGTGCAGGAGTTGGAGCTAGCAGTATAGGTGTATCACAGTCCCCTTGGGATGGACATCGATGGTTTCACCACCGTTAGCAATACTGCGAGGGGTCAGAGCTGCCCAGCAAATACATGTGTTTTCTGTAAGGATGAGAGTGCTGAACTAGTCAAATAATATCAGACAAACTCATTGCCTCTCTGGCATTCGTTTTAGTAATCGCGTTTTAGCATTTACTAGAAAAATGAAATTAATTCATTTTCCTGAGTTTGCGGGGAACCGAATAGTTCAGCAGTGGAGTTCATGTCATCCCCTATTCAAGACACTAAAGGTCAACTCCTTTATCTGACTGCTCACAAGCTTGGCTTGGAAGATCCAAGATGATTCAGTGGTTTAGTAAGGCATTCATCAAGTAGATTTTAAAAAATATCAGCATTTTTGAGGAATATTCTTCTAACAAAAATTTATATTATTGAAATGGTTGGTCAGTGTGTTACATTGACTTAATCACAGAGGACGATGCTGCTTTGAAGTTTCTGCTTCCATTTGTTATTGGATCTGAACTCTGATTCTGACACATGAGGGAGAGGCAGTTCAAAGAGAACAAAAATGAACAATTGGCCATTTTTTACAATAAAATATATATAATGCAGTCATCCAGCTTTGCTAAGTGTGTCTCACAGATGTGAAGGACAAAGCAGTATAAAAATGTGTAGGAGAGAGAGGAATTACAAAGGATGTTGTCAAGGAGTTTCATGCCTGGGGAGGAGAGGAAAGAGAGAGGACTTGGGTATTCAGGATGACTCTTATGTGATGGCAAAACCCTTTAGGATAAAAGAATTTAGTCTTAAAAGCACAAGATGTTTAAAGACATCAGTGTGTCAGTAATTTGAAACGCAAAATTAGATGGTACAATCTAGTTTTCAAGTCCCGGAATCGAACAAGATGGGTAATTTCTGGTTCTCACATCTGTGTCCCTGTGAATTCAGCTGGCATGAAATTCCAAATATGTCCAGCCTCTTGAAAATGGCAAAGCTGGTGCTTGCTCCAGTGCTGGGCCAGTGGGGAGGTGGGATTTGTGAAAGCATCTGAGTTGAGTTGCTTGTTCTACCTCGCACAGATCCCACAGTTGAACACGACTTATATTACCAAAAAGCCATAACAGCAAAACGAAACTAAATTCCTACCTTTAACAAACACATAAATCTTGGCCATGAGATCCTCCTTAGATGGGGCATCATCATGAACGCAGGTGAAGTAACCCGTGTCGTTAGCTGTGACTTTCCTGACGACGAGCATGCTGCAGCTTTGCCTTGTGTTATTGCGACAATTACTTATGCGCACCCGGTCCTCCTTCTGCTCCTCCCTCAAAACCCAGCTCACGGAAGGTGCTCCCCTGCCAACACAACACACCAAAATTAGAGATAGAGTCATGACTTCAGCCAAAATTCGAGCTTCCTCTGGCCAACTGTTGTCAATGTTGCCAATGTTCTTACTCTTGTCATTTGGAAATGAATGATGGAGGTTGCTGGGTGTTTGCGTATCCGCCCATAAGGAATTAAGGTGGATCACCCCACGTTCTTCCCCAGAGCAGAAGATATTGCTGAAATAGTCTGTGGGAACTGTACCAAGCGAGCTCCTGGGGGAAAGTTTAATTTTTATTTTAATGGAGTTCCTGAACATGAGTTTGGTTTTATAATGCTATATTTTAGCCACTTCAAACATTAGAAAACACCAGATAGAACTATATGTTTTTTCCAAACTGAGGACTTTGTATATTTTAGCAGCTAAATCAACGTATATTTTCTGAACACTGAGGCTGCGTGGAGAGAGAACATTTACATAACTTTGCATCACCTTTCTTGCTTAATCAGCAGTGACTCAGTCTTGATTTTTGTGAAGGGTCTGGAACTAATCAGATTACAAATCTTAGAATATCTGCTCAAGACACATTTTTTTTTTCAATTGACCTCATCATGGCAGTCAGAACGTAAAGCTAGCAGGGCAGATGATACACCATTTTCACCCACCTGACCCGTTCGGTGTCTTACCTATGAGCACAGCTAATGTCAAATGCAATTCTACTCAGTTCTCTGACAAAAAGCGAGACCTTTTCGTAACCTGTTGCAGGATTGAGAGCGAGCTCTCAGCTGGTAACAGGCACTGGTTGTGTGAGTCCTATCGTGTCGGAAAGACTTGGCCAAACCATGGCAGCAGGAGCTCTTGGAGCTCTCTTCTGCTTGGGATGCACTTTGAGGGCTCTGGTGATGAAGATTATGGTCTTTTTGTAGCAGACTGGTTTTTGGTGGCCAGTGTGGAAACTGGTGGGGTACAGGGTTAATCGTCCATGGATTCTTTTGGGGAAGAAGTTACTGAGAGGGAGGCGGTTCTGTCTGTCTATGTTTGCAGGGAGAAGCCACTCTTCAAAAGGATGGGGGGTTGACTCACCCCTTCTCACTCAGTGAATTCCCATTGGCCCAGTGGCATTTGCTGAGCTGAGGAAGGAGTAGGAACCTCTGGATTTCCCCAGCTCAGTGTCACCAGGGAGAAATCCGGTCTAAACACATAGACTCGGTATAGAGATGGGAGTACTAGGTGTATCTAACAAGCAAGCTGTGTGAAGTTTCCAGTTAGCTAATAACTCTTAACTACCCTTTCTGTGCCCGTGGCTTTGTAGTGGTGCGATAGGTGCAACAAGGGAATGTGTTTGCCAGCAAATTCAGTGACACTTAAACAAACATCCTCTTGGCCCTCATTTCTGCCCGTCCTTTTGTCGCCTTCCTGAAGATGATGCAGGCACGGGGATGAACTCTTGAGGTTATTCCCAGCACGTAGCAGAATGAGAGCACTGGGAAAAGTATGAATATCCTCTCTGGTGAACAGCCTCACCCTCGTTTTTGGATGCACTGTTGACTTGGACAACCCCACCTCATCCGTCATACCAGTTTCCTGTCCTTCAGAACACTGAATTATTTTTTTGACGCAGACGTCCCTACCCAGGGCTCTTCCCTTACCTTATCAACGTCACTAATGACGTAATGACCACCTCTATCAAGAAATGGGACTCCTGGCCCGGAATATGGAACAATGCCACTTCACATTCAGACACTCAACTCCCAGCACGTCATCATGTCCCTGCCCCTCTGCTGTCGCCCAGTCTGGTGTCCGTCAGGGCTGGAAATCCGTAACAGTGACTCTGCAGAGCACGTCAGGGATTTCACACGCCTGTCCTTCCTTACATGTGCCCACTTTTCCTTCTGCATATTTTATCCTGGTGGAAGATGAAGACTTTAGCTGTTGCTTTGGGATTTTCATACATCTGGCAGAGGGGAGTAGCAGCAGTAGCTTTGGCCAGGCTGCCAAAAATCAGGAAATCCTGGCTGAGAACCTCAAAGGAATGGAGTTTAAGGGAGAAGGGATGTTCGCACAGAGTTATCGCAGTCTTCGGCAGCTGCCTGCTCGATCTGCCACCTCGTGCTGTGCTCCACACAGCCCTAATGTCCCCGGGAAGCACGGAGGACTCCAGAGCTCCCTTTGGGCCAGTCCAGGGCTAATCGGAGCCTGCAGACACCGGTGTGTCAGAGGAGGCAGATGACAGACATCCACAAAGAACTCTGTACAGGGAGTCTTGCACTCGATGTGCAGAACTCACACTTTTCCCTTCTATTCCCTGCTCTTGCGTGACCTGAGTCAAGGAACCGAAGTTCTCCAGAGCTCTGTTCCTCTGCTAGCACGGCAGCATGCTGGCATACTCTGTTTCTCAGACCTGTTGTGTGGATTTATTGCTTTGCATCCATAAAGCAATTTGGGACTGAGGTGCTAATAATATTTTCATCTATTTTTTCATCTGGTGATATGAGAAAAATAGGATGTTCCTGCAGATTAAACAGGCAGTGGATGGAGAACTGCTGCAATGTGTTGATTTAATTGGCCCGGAGCACTACACTGAACTCATGTCCACATAATGTGTTTTATGAAGTACTGCATCTAGGTTTTAAAGGACTATTTAAACTTTATTGCCATCATACTTGCTGCTTGCCAAGCTAAAAATACCACTGTAAGGTTGTTTTGACCTCATAAGCCACACGGCTAGCTGGAGGTATTTGGAAAAAAAATCTGCAGAAGACATCATAAATTTACACAGTATGAGTCAATTCATCTTTCACTATAACAATGAATTAAATAGACTAGGACAAAATTCAGAAGGGACGTATGTGTCAGCATAAACTACAGTGTAAGTTCACCTTCCCACTACTTTTCTTTACTGTTTCCAGTAACTTCTGTTGCAAGAAGCCATCCCTGTGGTGGCCACAGTCAAGGGGACTTTGCAAGACGGTGTAAAAGTGATGTGTGTGCGTGTGAAAGTGCTCTGACTGTACTACATACAGTTGTGTGCCAGCCACCTGTGACCAAACGCGATATCCCCCATTTCCAGAGGATCATCTCCCTGTAAACCCGTGTCAGTACCATAATTTTGCTTGTTTTTACACATTGTGCCAAGAACCAAAGAGCTGACGTAATTTCCAATAGCAGCAGTCTGTTTTTTTATGAAGTCCTGGTTATCTTTGATTTAAAGAATATGATATGTTTAAGCAGGTCAGGTCTTTGAGTGTGCACATACTAACTGCTCTTTATTTAACTGTCATCTTGTAGGCCAGATGGTGTTTGAGGTAGAAAGTTTAAGCTCATAGATGCATATGGAAAGAGCTAATGACATGCCCTGGTGATCTTGTTCATCATTTACTTATGGACAGGGGCGAAAAAGTGATGGGAGCTGCAGAATCTGAACCTGTTTTCAGATGAGGATTTTCCAGCCCTGGCTTTCAGCATGGTACATCCCCCTCCCATAAGCTTTCCCAAAATCAGGATTTTGCCCCTTTACAACATAAAGGATCTGGCCAAGCTGAATGCTGAGCTGAGACTTCTCCCTGCTCTGTTACAGCCCGTTTAGTTCTCCTCCGCGCAGCAATGCGTGTGGGGTAAACGGCCCCAGTTCCCAGCTGGCCGTGCAGTGGTCTTTGCTCTACCCTACCCAGAAGCTGTTCTGTGCCAAGGTAACCAATGCAACCGAGGAAATCCAGCGTCGCTGGAGCGATCCTTACCTGCATTTGATTTTTAGGGTGTCTCCTGGTGAGATGACGATGTGGTCTTTTGCAATGCTTAGCGTTGGTTTCTCGAAAAGTTCTTCCTCAGCAAGACCTGACCCAAATAAAGAAGAAAAGATCATTAGGGCGGCTATTCAGTATGGTTAGAACAGACACAATACAGTCGAGGCAAGCTTTTTGTTTTGTAAATAGTTCCTAATTTGGGGGCCCACACAGTGCTTGCATTTATACCGATGCAATTCAGTTGAGCGTGGAGTTAGTCCTGAGATCCCCTTAGTTTGTTTTTAGTTTCCTTTATTCATTTCTTTCTTTTCTAACATCGAGCACCTGCGTCTCTGCTAATAGTCTTTCTCTGCTTTTATTTAGAGATAGCTTTGTTGCTGAATTACTGCCGTTTCAGGAGAAGAGATTCATTTCAAAAGGATTTTACGCGCATATAAAAAGGGAAGGATTCACGTCTTTGGGAAATGATGTGCGAGCTCATACGTTACATTTGAATCAATGGGAGAAGAGGAAAACAATAATTCTGGGGAGCAACTCTTTGATTCACAACTGTGAAGCATCTGCTCTACTAAAAGCAAATGAAAAGCCTGCTGTTTTCCAAAGCACCGCTCACAAACACCGCGTTTGAACTAAGCAGCGAGCTGCCTGCTTTGTGGGCATCGCCACTGTGTGCCCTGTCATGCTCCAAGGTGAATCTGCCATGCTGTCTGGGACTAGTGTGGCAAGGTTTGTCAGGTCTCTGATGGCACTGGTCTTCAATGACAGTAGTGATAAAGGTCTCTCTCATCATCATCTCGTGGCTCGTGAAATGTCTTCTGGATGTGAAACTGTCCTCAGCGAGACGCATATCTGAGTGTGCATCTATGACAATATAATTTTTCAGAAAGTGAAACTGAGAAGAAACAGAAGTGAGGTTGGCCAGCCTGGTTTTCTTGTCCAAATTCAAAGTAACATAATCAAGGGAAGGAGAAAACAGACTTAGATAAGTATCTCAATTTCCAAAGCTCTGATGTTAAAGCCATATGTTTTCTTTCCCCTCCTGCTCTTCAAATCTCTATCTTCTCCTTTGCCTTGAACTTGATAAGCCAGAAATCTTTAGCTGGGCTTATAACAGAGGCATTATTCTCAGCAGAATAGTGAAGATAACATATCTAGCAAAAAGAGAAACATTAGGGTTTAACTTTTCAACTGGATGAAACAGTGATTTTCTTGCCTCCCACCTCCCATCTCTCATCTCTTTTTAGCTGGATTTGAGTAAAATGCTCTTAGCCTGGCAGAGTGTCTCAGTGTGGAGAGGGAATCACTCCTGCTTTGGAGAGTCTGGCTTCTTCCATGAGCCGTTCAGATTCCCATCAGTAACTCAGCGGAGGCCAGCTAATCTCACAGCACCAGAGGATCCTTCCCAAAGGGGATCCTGCCCAGACAGCATGTTGCTGGACCCCCTTCGAAGGCATATGGACCCTCCCTATAGACCTCTACCTGGGACTGCATACGGACCCTCCCCATAGACCTCTACCTGGGACTTTAAACTGGTCCTGACCATTGCTTAAGCATCAGCGTTATCCCCCGTCGCCCGCCTGGTTTTGCACGACTGATGACACTGTAGCTCTATCTCCAAAGTCTTTTGTGGAACACGAGATTGGGGTCTGGCCAACACAGACTCCCCCCAGTGCATCTGTGTGACGTTATTCACCATGGCCCTACCTAAAAACTGCCATTACATGTAATGCTGTGGAAGCAGAATATCAGTGGGTTCCAGCCCTGCAGTTCCCCCGTCTTAAGAAGTACCGTTATTCCTAGACACGTTCAGGATGACACATGCAGGGTACAGCATCACATTTAACAAAGAATCAACAGAAAAAGCCCCAAACTCTGCAGGAGGAGACAATATCAGCCAAGTACCCCCTTGCACTTGACCCCGAGTCCCCACCGGTTTCTAGAAACAACCAGTTCACACTGAGCATGGGCTGAGCTTTGGCGCGGGTTATTTCGTGGTGCTCTGGCATTTCACTCTCTTAAGACCATGTGCTGAGCTTTGCAGAAACAATCTCAAAAATGGCCAACAGCTTTGAATATGTTTGTCAAATGTCATTTAGTTGGCTAACCGAGGGTCGTGTGGGTCCTGTGCAGCTCTCCCAGCACACAGCTGCTGCCGTGATCCGCTCTGGGCTGTTTACACTGTCACTTCAGCCAGGTGCTGCTTCGAATTAGAAAATCCTGGGGTTTGAAATAATCCTGTGTTTCTTTCCTCTTGTGCCTCAGTTGTTCTTAGGGCTTAGAGGGGCTTAGCTGATGGCTTGAGCTGGCCTTTTGGTCAGGCTTGAGTTTTACCTCTCCTGAGCAAGTGTGACCCTGTCGGAGGGCGTTAGACCTGGGCTGCTGTTGGGACCACAGAGCAACGCAGTCTTTGGGCTTTTATAGTATTTGAAACTGGTTTTGCTACAAGAAAGAAAAGTATTTTTCAATTATTCTGTTTATACTTCTGAGCTACTTCTTTCCCAAAGTTTATTTTGGCTTCAGGAGCTGAAGAAAAGAAAAAGCAAAGTGTAATTTCAGTGCTTTTCTACCCCATGGAGGACAGGAGGAGAAATTCCTCTGCCACACTCCCATTCGATCGCTGCTGCCAGGTGACAGAGGGTTTAGACAAACACAGTGTGTGCCCTTTCTGGCTCACCAGAGCCAAAGCTGAGTGGACTGGGAAAAAATAAAAATAAAATTGAAGGCCAGACAGAGAGAGTGGTGGGGGAAAAGGTTAGGCTGTGCTACATCAGAACACCTAAATGCCAGAACTGGCAGGATGATGCCTCACAAAATTTTTAACCTCCCTTGGTCCCTCTGGAGCTAGACTTTATTTTTTGGAGGCAAAGCTGGAGACAACCCCGGGGCATGTTGGATCAGAAGAAAAGGATCTGCTCCACTTCTGTATTTATTTTATATATTTGAGGAGGCTCGTGGCTTTAAGAAAACGTTGGGATGCTGCAAGCAGCGTTCTGCAGAGAGAAGCGGGCACGTGGGCTGCAGCATCCTCAGCAGCACAAACCCTCACCTTCCACAATCCTGCACCCTAACGTTTGGTTGGCTTTGGGTTCTCATTCACACCTGTCGGTGGTGCCAGGGGAACCTGGGTTGGAGGTAGATGTTGGTTAGCTTGTACAAAGACTAAGTTTTCTGGGACGTTGTGTGTGTGCAGGTCTCTTACTTGCTGGTGAGCTTTGGGTTGCAGGAGTTGTGAAACACAGGCAGGTTTGATCTAGTTCTGGGAAGGAGAAAGTTAACCCAGTGTTGGCATTCCATAGAAAAGCATTGTTTAAATACACCGCGTAGCTTAGTTGCAGCGCTTTTCCTTCTTCTTAGAATGAACGTGAATGTTCACCATTTTAATATGTTTAATTTCAATTTTATGACTTTAATCAACACGTCTCACACTTCTTAAAAAAAAGTTTTCCACAGCTACTCTAATAAAACCTCCTAGACTTGAAGAACATCTCTCTGAGATAGCATGCTGTGGCACGCTATAAAACTGGAACCTACAACCTGCCCAGGGTGGGGTGGGAGACCCGTACTGCTGGACTACGTCCAGCTGAAGCTGATGTGCTCTGATCAAACAGCTCAAATTACAGTGTCCAGGCCTAAAATAACATTATCTTCTCTGCTAAACAACTTTGGTCCTGCTCTAGGACGACAAGGGTCATAAAATTATAAACAAGTACTCGCGCCAACCATGGCATTACCAAAGCAAAGCTCTGCAGAGGAGCAGACAGCCTGGCAGGCTCTGTTCTGCAGAGCGATGTCTGAAGGCCCAGGAAACAGCATCATCATCCAGGCTGTCCCTGCCATTCGCTTGGTGAAGCTGACACTGCTGCCTGGTTGGGGTGAAGAGCCTGGTGCAGTGTCCTTCTGTAGATCCTCTGGCATGCTTTGGGATAAGATGCTAGTGATAATACTGCAGAATTAGCAGAGAGCTGGTGGCCTCCTGCAGAGCTACGAATAGGTCTTAGCACAGCATCCCCTCTGTAAACCAAGGGAGAAAGATGGGCTCCTTCTGGGAAGTGACGTGTTGCATCTGATGTTTGGTTCCTGCCCTCAATTACTTGTTCCCAACACAAGTTGACTACAGCAAGACTCAAGAGTGTAGTGTCACCAGGCTCAAGATAGCCTCTGGAAAGAGCCCCAAGTCAGGTCAGACCTTCTGTCCAGCACCTCACTGCACCATTTCTAATTCTGAGAGTTTATTCTTACCCTCACTGTAGACTTTAGCATTCTGCTCTTGATGGTGAAAACCCCAAGCACAGCTACACAAATCCTTGGGAGTGAAACGTGAAAGGTTGACTGGTACATTATCCAGGGAAGAAAAGTATATTGCAAGCTGTTTTTCCTGGGATAATCTGATTTTGCAGCACTGCCAACATTAAACACGGGAGGATCGCCAGGCAGAGGGTAATGTGTGACCTCCCTCACCTCCATCAGATGATTTCTAAGCCTATCTCACTTGGCTGAGGGAGATCCCTCCCACGCTAAGGGAATGCCTGATTGTTCATGCTAGGGCTATCAGTGAGAATGGAGAAAAAACTATTTTTAATCTCTGTTTCTTATTATAACAGCCTTCCTCCAAGCATCCTCTAGGCACTGTAACTACCCAGTAGCTGTCCCCAGAAGAGCACTTGCAATCAGTTTTAGAGCTGATTTCAGTGGGGGAAAGGGAGAGGCACATACACAACGTGTGAAAACTGTTTTTTTTCATTGCTGGCAATAGATATTGGGGATACTTTTGTGAGCTGTGCTTACCTTAAAGCATCACTGAGTCAGAGCCTGGATGGGGAGCATAATCTGTGCTCCAGAAACGCTTTGTGGGATCGATGGGGGCTGTGAGAACAGCGTGGTGGCCCTGGTCACCAGTAGTAAGGTGGTCACCAGTAATAAGGTGGTCACCAGTAATATGGATCATGCAGATGAAGAGCTGCCACCTACGCTGCCTGCCAGGGAAAAACTGGGGACAGCTCAGGCTCTGCAAGTGGCTTTGTGTGTGCAGCAGTGAATGGCACGAAGGATGTGCCACGGGTACCTCATCACAAGCACACAGTGTGAGCACAT